TTCGATTTTTAGACATACGCACACTGTATAGACCTCTTGAGAGACCTTTAAACATATTTCTTCCTTTTCAAAATGACTATTGATTCTGACATATCATAGCATATCTCGGGCAAAATTAACCTTACTTTATTTCGAAATTCAATAGTAAGAGACATCTATAGTTTAAACGCGATACAACTACTCTCGCAAGATGGATGTCCAAATTGCATATGAAAAATGTAAGACGCGATGGCGTGAATCGTGAACTTGTAATGCTCTGCTCTATATTACTATAGTTTGAAGCACCATTACGAATAAGACAAACGCAAACAAGCACAATATGGAAATAAAGCGAGGGAAAGGATGATCGTTAATTACGGCGCAGAGATACAACTATTCGTACTTGATGGACGTCCGTGCTGCATCTGAAAAATTGAAGGCGCGATGACGCGAAGCGTGAGTTCTCAATGCCCTGCTGTATGCTGCCAATGAGGTGTCGCTCAGATTCGGGAGAAAAGTTAAAAAAGAGGCCCGAACACATCTCTCCTACCTTCGGCTGTGTTATTCACGTAGTGCTTGAAGCACCATTACGAATAAGACAAACGTAAATAAATACAAAATGGAAATAAAGCGAGGAAAAGGATGCGCGTTAACGACGGCGCAGAGATACAACTATTCGTACTTGATGAACGTCCGTGCTGCATCTGAAAAATTGAAGGCGCGATGACGCGAAGTGTGAGTTCTCAATGCCCTGCTGTATGCTGCCAATGAGGTGTCGCTCAGATTCGGGAGAAAAGTTAAAAAAGACGCCCGAATACGTCTTCCTTGTCGTCGGCTGTGTTGATACTCGTTCTTTCTTCTTTTTTCAGGTTCTTGTCTGAATCTTTTTTAGGATGGATTTTCAGACCCACGTCTTAAGCTCGTGTAAATCGCAGCACTGACGCGGTTCTTATGGAAATAATGGTGCTTGGATGTGTCTAGTGGCTTCAATTTTTTATGTTTTCTTTAATTTTAGAAGTCTGTCGGTCACTTCATTACGTTCAATTTTACAATTTTTACTTGGGACGATTAATAAACTTTGAACCTAAAAATATAGCGTAAACTTGTGCTGCTTTGCCAAAATTTTCTGAACCCCTCTGAACGAAGGGGGTGCCCCATCAGGAAATATCACATTGCGCCCCTTTAACTAGCCAAGGGTCTACGCCCTCAGATGCGAGCCAGTCCGACCCTGAAGTGGAGAGACCAGATGAGGGGGTATTTTAGACATTAATCCATGCCACAAATAATCGAGATTGAGATTGCTTTCAATGAAAGCTGCACACAGTAGCGAGGCGTGAATGATCGATTATCGATCGAAGCTTCTGAACCCCATTTGAAGCTATGGTAAAGAATCGATTATTAACTAAGGTGTTCGTTGCGTACACCATGTTTATCGATCCTATTCCATAGGTTAAAATGGCAGATCAATCGATATATCGCACAACACACCACGCCACTGGCTACACATTCCTGCCTCTCCGACGACGGAGAAAAACAAGGAAATGTAAAAATATGCAGGTTCTTTCGCCTAATGCAGTTACAATTTGGCGCAAGTGCTATACACAATTCTGGTACTTTCCTTTGGTATTTTATCTCATATTTGATTTTATGATTTAATATTTAAAATGCCATATAAGTATTGTGTTTTGCTCCTTTTTTAAATTTTACTAATACAAAAAAGGGCTATAATTCGCTCAAATTTACCAGGGTACCGATGAACTGCCGTGCTAAGGTAGAATGCCGCATAAGCTTTAAAACGTTACCAGATTTCCTTTGATAAAAAAATAATTTTCAGCAGGGCCGGATTAAGAGGGTGGCCACATGGGCCGCGGCCCATGGCGGCAAAATTAGGAGGCGGCAAATTTTGCAATTTTTTTTAAATGCAGGTACAAAAAAATCGGATTCAGAAAAAAATTACAAACAAGAAAAGGTGACAAAATCTCTCATTTAATGAGAGTTCATTAATTTCTAATTTTGTCGTATTTCGGTGATACAAAAGACTGCGCACCTTTAATTAGTTGAGTTAAGAGAAAAACCAAACACGTAATTTGGCCTGGAGCGGCTCGGCGCAAAGAGAAATGATGACGAGGACTTGAGATGAAAAGGAGAAGCCCTCGACGCGGCGCGGCGGTCGGCATGTAACACATATTAGCGCCTACGAGACTGCATGAATACTTCACGCATTGCGTCAAATACAGCATGGACAACAGCGGTCGGCGCGGCGTGAAACGCACAGTGCCTACAAGACTACATGAATACTTCACGCATTGCGTCAAACACAGTGTGGTCAGCGCGGCACGGCGGTGGAAGTTTAAATTATTAAACCACATTTATGTTTGTTCTTTCTTAATTTTTTAGTTCATTTCTTAAAAATTAAAGGCCTTGTCCCCACAGATATAGGTTTACGGAACTGAACTTTTGCGCGAAGTTCCGTGAACTTTTGCTAGTAGTGTTGTTAGGGCTTACGCAAAAAAATGTGTCCAACACGAGTGAACGCGTCTTATGCACCCTTCTCCCTCCGGCACGTTCACTTGATGGTTTTTATTGATGTTTCAAAATGAATGAGAAGAGGGCGGCAAAATACAGGCGGCCCATAGGCGGCGAGTAGGTAAATCCGGCCATGATTTTCAGGAAAATTGGTGAATACTTATATTTCCTTTTTGATGCGAATTTTATTCGCGATTAGATTCAAATTATCTGAGTATTTCAAGAGAAACTTTTCATAACTCTCTCTACAAATAATTGGTTTTAAAAAACACATACATTTTTTTAAAAGAAAAAATGTACAGGCATTGCTACTGGAGGTACTATGTATGTTTCCTATTTTGATTCTTAAAATTTTGAATATGTGTTTAGGATGGCTTCGTCAGGAAAACGTCTTTCACGGAGAAAACAACTTAGCGCTGAGCTTCATCACTTCAGGTAAAGTAGTGCCGACTACACTGCCTTGCTGAGAGAACGCCGTATAAATATTCGAGAGTTGCCAGATTTTCTACGATAAAATGTTTATATTTTTGAGGAATGTTATGAATATTTTTCCTTGAAATCTTCAGGAACTTCAGATGAAATTGCGGACAAAATTATCTAAAAAGTTGGAAGGAAAATATTCATAAGTTTACCAGGTAATCCGTGTTTTATCAGAGGAAATTTGGCAACGCCTGAAAGTTCATACAGCGTTCTTCGATCCTTAGCACGGCCGTACAAGCAGTAGGGCTAATCCCTACAGTCCGAAGGGCTGGATCTTAATGCATGCAGGGCTAGCTCAGCACTACTGCTTGTAGTTGGCGCTATTTTACCTGAGGTGTTACGGCTCAGCGCTAAGCTATTTTTTCCGTGTGTATGTCGTAGGCAATAGGCAATCGTAGGCAATTTGCGATCGGCTCGCAAATTGCCTAGGCATTCCGCAAGCCGGCGAATTGCCTAGGCAATTTGCAATTTGCCTAGGCAATATGCATATTGCCTAGGCAATCCACGAGCCGCAAGTGATGAATTGATGAGGAATTATCGGCAACACCGGGGGCGCGGAACCGGGGATACGCGCGGATGAGTTTGTGGTGATCTTTGATATGAGCGACGGTCGCCGTGCTGATGATAAGAGTTTTCGTGGGTAATTTTGGTTTTTTACATTTGTAAGAAAGGAGCTCTGTACGTGAAAAATCTGTGAAGTTGCAGCAAAAAGAAAAAAGATACCTGTTCAGAGGATGACTGTGAAGATGAGGAACCTCCTTCAAAGCGCGAAAAACAAATTCAGGAGGAAAGGAGTCAAGCAAGCGCAAGCCTGCAGAAAGCTGCAGAAAAAATGCAAGAGAGAAGTAACTTTCTGCATGCTCCCTTAAAAGTTAACGCGCCTGTCATCACAAGTGTTTCACAATTTGATCGCGGCCCATTAGATGATTCAAATCTTCTCGGCATCATTGTTACGGTGAAAAACAAAAAATACAGTGTTGCAACGGCTGCAGGTTTACTTAAAAACTGGTTGTCAAGAAATCAGGTTCAAGAAGTCCCAACCAACAATTTGAAACTGGACGATATCGATTTGCAGAAAAAAGTTTCGATAAGAGAAGCTGTAGCCCACCACTCGCTTTTCAACGGCCAAGGCTATAAAAAATGTAATTGCTCGACTTCTAAAACACAGTGCCGCACCAATCGGTGCACTTGCTTTAAAAAAATTTAAAGTGTAACAGTCGCTGCCATACTTCTTCAACATGTGCAAACAAATAACTTTAGTTTGAATTGTATTTTTAATTGTAATGACGCGTTTTATTATTAATTTTAAAACTAAAAAAAAAAAACTTTAAAAGTGAAAAGAAAACTTCAGGAACTACACGATTGCGGCGCGACCTATTATAAGCGCACGGTAGAGCGCTAGACGGCAATAAAGAAACCTTAAAACAAGACTAAAGCAACAAAAGAAACCTAAGTGTATGATTAGATGTATCGGTTGAAATTGAAGGCTGACTATATACTGTAATGTAACGTAGCGCGCGTAAGCTTATATACACGAAAATCAACTTAATATCGCAATTATTGGGCCGAAATCGTAAGATTATACTCTNTTTTTGTGGGATTTGACCATACGCCATCCACACCGAGGATATCACATTCAACTTCAAGGTAAAGTCTTATTATTTTATCATTTTTCAATTCATCACTTGCGGCTCGTGGATTGCCTAGGCAATATGCATATTGCCTAGGCAAATTGCAAATTGCCTAGGCAATTCGCCGGCTTGCGGAATGCCTAGGCAATTTGCGAGCCGATTGCAAATTGCCTACGATTGCTTATTGCCTGCGACATGTATACGGTTCATTTTGATGTATAAATTCATGGATTTAGTGTCTTCCTGTGATCGGAGGCAGCGGACTTTGTTTAAATCTGGAATTTGCGCACGCTTCATGGCCATGCTCTCGGTAGGCAAGGAGATGCACACGGGAGATGGGAGGTAGGGCGCTGAAGGGATTTCAGCTTTAGTCTGACGCGCCGCTCTGTCGCTCTCGCACGCTCGCACTGTAGCGGAGACGCTGTCATTTTTGACGTATCTCCATCTGACACCGATGTAAAAGAAAAATACATTTCCGAGTAGAATTTACAATCGTTCATACAGACGCTCCCGGTAAATGTAATTATTCCCCCTTATTTTTTCTTAAAAGTACAGTGGAGGACACTATATAAAGTCGCGCTGTTTTTCAACGGCCTTTCATAAAGACGGTAAGTCATACATGTATATGTCACACGCAAATAATCGAATCAGGCATTTTGCTGACTAGGCAGATAGTAAAATATTCTTACTTTAATTGGTTTTTTTTTTTGGGGGGGGGGGTGTGCTAATATTTTATAATAAATAATTCTTTGCTTACGTTGGAAATAATTTACATAGTAAGAATGCGCCTCGAGAGACGGCATCTGTAATTATCTCTAAACTTTGAAGTAACATTTACCTCCGAATTTACAGAAAGGTATAAAATACCGAATTTTTCAAATTTTTACAGTCAATACACGCGGATAATATTTAAAGAAGAAAATACCTGGAAATTCTGTAGATTTGATGGATTTTTACTCTAAAATAGTTGAAAACTTAAAGGCCTCTTGTCAAAACTATACAAAATTTGAAAAATTGTCAAAATTTGACTATATGCCCAGGCATTCGATTAAATGCCTGATTTGACTAGTTGCCAGCGACATGTATAATTATTGCAAGAGAGTAATACTTTCGAGGCCTAAACTTAAACATGGAAAAAAGGGGGAAAACTAGGATTGGGAAATTGTAGAACTTGCTGTGAAGGAATCTCCTATGATGTTTTATAGTGTAAGCAGGAAACCACCAACATTAGTTTTGGACAGATCTATTGGAATTAGCTTGATTGAATTTCACGTTACCTATGTTTCTCTCACATGTTTTATTTTTGTTTTAAAAAGAGACCTACATAAAGTATTTGAAACGTCTGTAAATTTACCCCAGGATACAATGAAAATATTTGCGAATTTGAAAGTTTCAGTTTTGATTGGTTTTCTCTCAAAAAAATAAGACTTATGATAAAATTATGTTAATTAGGCAACGTTCGATATGTAGTAAGGCTGCTTCCTATTGAATCCGTCCATTTAAACCTCCGTCTTACATAATGTTATATCAAACATATAAATTCTAGAGTCAACGTTGTAAAATTTAAATAGAAAATCTCTTGATAAACTCCAAAATATTTTTTTTATAATTCCAATATACGCGGTTGTGAGCGTAATACACTACAAATAACTGTACGGCATACCATACCTATACAGTCGTTTCGCTAAAAGGGAAATGAATACTTAAACTATAAGTATTTCTTAGATAGCACCCTGTCTCCGTAGATCCTTTGTCTTGGCTCATAAAAGTTTTACGGAATTTTGATAATGTAAAAATGACTACCACTTTATTACGCACTTGCCTCAGCGTAAAATATAGTTTGTGCTGAACTTTCGCTCAAACTCAGGTCAAATAAAANGGTTTTTATTCAATCCCCACCAACCGCAAACACTTTTTTAGGCGGTAACGTGATTTTAAATAATTACGAAAATTAAAAAAATGGCCAAAACGTGGCAACAATGGAGTCAAATTAAAATTTTTTTGGCATTGGTCGATAGAACGTAATTTTTTGCATCTTTTGGTATAAATACGAGCTCTGTAACTGCATTTCTGCGAAAGTTATGGGTGTTTGAAGGTTACGACTTTGAAAAATGGCAACGCTGTTTCCCTGGGGTTCCTGCAAAAACGGAGCTAGGGATAGGCCTCTCTCAGCTAGTACTATCAGCTCACAAAGTTTCGTACATTCCGGGCTGGGTACATTTTTCGCCTATATGAATAACCCTCTTTAACCTTCGCGTCAGGAAAAATAATGATCCAGTTTCATTTGCCACTCTATTTATTACTTGCGTTTAAATGGATGAATAAGCCAACAAGAAATTTACATAGATTAAAAGTGAGTGATTTCCAAATAATTTTTCAAAATTTGCGTGGATTAAAAAAAATGCAGTACAAAAAATGTTCACAACGGATCTAAGTGATTTCTAATTTTTGTATCAATCCTCGAATTCACTCGCTTATTTATACGGACCCGCCTAAAAAACCGAAGAAAAATGGATGAATAAGCCAACAAGAATTTTAAATGGATTAAAAGTGAGTAATTTCCACACAATTTTCCAAAATTGCATGGATTAAAAAGAAAGAAAGAAATTGCAGTACAAAAAATGTTCACCACGGATCTGAGTGATTTCTAATTTTTATATCATTTCTCGAATTCACTCGCTTATTAATACGAACCCGCCTAAAAAACCGAAGAGAAAAAAGCCCTCAATTTCATCGCCCTTCGAAGTGCGTATAAAATAAGCTCTGAAAAAAGGAGAAAGGCCGTTGGCCAGTTCGCAATCGAGGGAGGCTCTCTCATTAACACCCCTAATCACGGCATGGTGTGAATTTGAGCAAGGCGTGGCGTTGTCCCTCGTCTCACCCCGGAGCGACGGGGTCGATTTTAGCTTTTAATCTCAGCCTCACGGGTTCTCTAGCTTCCCACGTGGTGTGGAATCTTAATCACCGATTATGAGCGAAGGGCACAAACTCACCGTCATAAACCCGGCGGCAAAGTAGGAGAAACTTCCCTGGAGAAGTAACAAGCCTTTACGCTAACGGCAAAAACTGTTGTTTCGGTAAGCAAAAGGCAGAGTCCAAGGGGTAAGGGGGAAGGAGGGAGTTTTTGACCCGTCAAAACAGAGTTTGAAATTTTGCCACTCATCCCCTTCTTTTTTGTCATTAAGTATTTTTATCATCAAAATGGTACAGTTAATACAAAATTTTGGCTGGAACATTTGGAACGTCAGTTGTGATTGAATCGACGTATTCAAAAACGTCCGATGTCCGAGACAATGTTTCAGAATTTGAGTGGACAATTTCATTGTAACTTAACGACACAAGATGGGTTAAGACGTTAGGAATGAAGAACAATTTTATAAATAAATAAAGTGTAATTAAACGTTTACAAAAGAGATCGATCCTATTCATCAGTGTCGTGGCACAAGAAACCCACCGCAATTATGAAACCCTTTATTGAACTACGGAAGTTTTCGCATACGTCGATTCAATTCTTGGTTGCAGGAATTCGACTTATATTAACTTTTTTCACATTGCTCACTGTTAAAAATTTGAGAGTCTCTTTCACTACTTCTCCTGATGGTTCTAAATTTCACTGTAAAGAACCGCACTAAAAACACAAATCTCCGCAAGCAGGGAATAAAATGACGCGTATGTTTTTTTCTAAAATGAGTTAAATATTCTCTATTATATTCAGAAGTTCCTTCTCCACTTCCACTTCCTAGGAAAGTGTTGCTTCTCTATAAAACTCTAAAATTAAATCACGTACATTAGTTCTTATTTTTTATTAGTCGAAGGGACTTGAATAGAAGAACAGAATCGTCAAAACAGTCAGGTTACACTTATAGACGAGCAACATGCAGTAAGAAATCCACGAATAGATAGGTAACTGTAACTGTAGAACTACACGGTGGATGATGTCATTTAGCCTACCTTAAAAACTGAGGGCAAAAGATCAATGTGCCTAAATTCCGTTTATTCTGAAGTTCTAGTAACAAAATGACCACTTATTCTGCAGCATCTCTTCAGCCCTTCCAAAAAAAGAGATGACAGAGCTGAAGAAATGTTAAAATTTGATTTCTACAGCCTTAGACATACGAAAAAGGACGTATTGCATTCGAGCATGAGTATTTTTGTTTAGCTTTCCCTACAGAACATTTTTATACGATTGTACAATTTCGAGCGGTCGCAACTCATTACGGTAAGAGCATCGGTATGTAGGCGAAACGCGGTGGTGATGAGTGCGGGGCGATATGAGATTCAAAGCAGCGGAAAGCCACCGAGAAAATTGAAGACTAAAGCCTCTAAAAGTTCTCTCTTTCCCTTCAATTTTGAGGGAGGCTCCGTGAAATCGATTTTGTTGTTTTCTTCATGCCATGCACCCAATCATTTGACGTGCCACGAATAAAAATTCCCTCATTTCATAAAGATATTGAGACACCTGCTGCACAAATAAATTGGAGCCTTTTCCGTGAACAGAGGCGGACAGGTTTTCCAGCTGTAAAATTGATGTAATTATTACACCATGTATACTCTTTAATCAAGAGTCAGACAATTTCATTGTAAATTATAGATATCTAAAATCGAGATTTGCGTAAGTGTGTCTCCGATTACATTTTTGAGAATCTCCGCGAGCTTTTGTTTGATTTTTTAAAGAGCAAAGTAACATACAGATTTTCTTGAAATTGTTCGAAGATTTTAGTCACTCATTCAAAATTAGACGTTTCCAGATATATTGGGATTACATATTTCTCTTTCTTTTTTCCTCTTTTTTTAAAGGAATAAAAGTAAAACATCAGCGTTAGAGTGTGAAATGTTGCGATGTAGGGACGCATTTTCCGATTTCAGCCGTTGATGTACTCCTGCCTCTGAAAAAAGACACAATACCACGCATTTTAACGTTAGTAGCAGAGAGAATATTAAATTAAGCGCAAAAAGAGGAAAAGTGGTTCTTCATTGAGGAAAGTGGGATGAGTGCTGCGACTGCAGGAAAAATGTGGAGCAAAAGATAAATCGTTTTTGACGTGAGAGCGAAAATGTGTCAATTTAGTTTTTGCGATTACTGGATGTAGCCGGAGATAATCCAGGTTCTTTCACGCATGCTTCCATGAAGAATTTAGAGAATTCACTTTAGAGAGGGTGTGTTTTTGATCAATGGCGTTCTCTGACTGAAAATCTAAAGGAAGCTTTATTGACGCCAGATTAGGCACGATGATACTTTGATTTCAATTTTTGAAATAGGCTAGAAAATGTTCTCGTGGCAGTACTATAATAAAATTGTTATCCATTTGCGAATTTACTGAGATTCGCGGAAATTATGTTAAATTTCACCAGACATTTTGATAACTTATTTTATATTCAAATCACTTTGATTGATACTAAATACTGTAATATAAAAAATAATTTATTCCCTTAACTCTTGGAAGGTACCCAGATTCACTCTCCTGGCACATACGCAGGGAAAAGCACCTTTTTTAATGTTTCTAAAGTGTTCGTTACGACATTTTCACGAAAATCAGAAAATTTGTTGAATATTTTTATCTTTCGACTTTTAATAATTTTAGTTCAGAGGTCCTCCGGATACCATTTA